TTCACCCCCCCCCCCCCCCCCAAAAAAAAATGTGGCACTAGAGTGTTTGGGTTTCACTTGAAGAAAAGGTGGTAACCCTACCCTTAACCTGCAACCTATCGCTCTTCATGCATGTCCCCAGTGCCTGGTAGAAGTAATATATTAGACAGTATGGTTAAATACATACAAGAGCTAATTGAGCATCCACTTTGCACTACAGAATTATGGACATACTGAAGTGTCTGGGGACTCTGGGACTGCAGTCCCCCTTCTATTACTTATCCCAGCAGAGCCCCTCCAGGTGCAGGGTAAACACTGGATGAGCCCTCTGTCCTGCACACGTGTGTACTCCACCTTTATGCCTTCGACAAGAGAAGTGATGGCAGTTTGAAGTGCAGAAATACACTTTGTACATGGACATAATTGTTGCCTTATTTATCATGCTGTTTTGTTGAATAAGTTCAGTTTGGTGTTGATCAGAGCCGCATGTTGGACCTGAGTGCCTTGCAAACAGACCTCTGGCATAAGTAAAGAAACGTGCATGTAATATATTTAGCGCACTTTTGCCTCACTCGGAATCATGGCTTATCCCGATGTAACTGAGAGGCTACCCATAACCCTCTGCTTCTCTAACTTGGCTTAGCCTACGTTCTGCTGATTCATTTTGCCCCCTGCTGAAAATATCCCGCCACATTTGCCAGCTGCAGTCTACTTAACGTTTTTTTCAGAGGGAACAACAGGGCCATGTTTGGGTCAAGCTGGATTATACAGGGGTCACCATATCATGTGCAGCTGTTCTCCAGCCCAGTCCCTCTTTCTGGTACCCCCTTATCTGCCAGCAGAAAATAATTTGGGGCCCCCTCTTTAGTTTTGATTGTTTTCATCAATTTGCACGGGGTAGTAACAATTTTCATGGAGATATATGACTTTTTATGATTTCTGCCCAACAAAAAAATCCCTGCAGCCTTCTTTAGTTGACTGATCATGGTTGACATGACTTTTCTCATGGTTTCTAGTGCCAAGATCTTTCTGTATAGCTGGAAATGTGTACCAAACACCACGGGGTGTTGAAAATCAGTCCGGTTGTATTCCAGTCCAGTTCTATTTCTGTTTTTTAAATGTTAACAGAAAAGTGGCAGTCTACTATTGTCGGCTAACAACAGGAACAAATTAAAGGTACTTTATGTATTGTTAAAGAATTATTTATAAAATATTGCTTTCAATAAATGGAAGAGATGCTCATAGCAACATATTGGGTTATGATTGCTGTAGTGGTGCAATAGCAGGGACTCCAAGGTTCAATAGCTTGTTTTTCCTAGACCTCTGGCACCTGAGCACATTATGACTTCAGCAAAAAGGTCCGAGCTTTGGTCTGTCCCTTACTGCCCCCTGTGGCTTGCTATCTGCCCATTACAGAGGACAGCTTCATTGGCCATGGCAAAGCACCTAAGGGCATAGGCCAAATTCTTGACTTTCTTGCTGAAGTGTAAATTTTCATAATTGTGCCAGCATGTTTTGGGGCATTCTAAAAGAAATCTGAAAATTTGGGGGGCATAATGCTACATACACAAATAGTAATTTCCCAGCTCTATAGAGTGCCTAAGTAATGAATATGGGTGTTCCCATGGGGGGGTGGGGGGGGTGGCTCGGTGTGCTTTAGCTCTAGGGTCAGGTACAGCCATCAAGTTAGGAAAGTCAAGCACATCATAGGACAGCAAGGAGCAGTAAAGGTGCACATGTACAACCCAGAATAACAACTAAGAACAATGACTACTGAGTGGTTGCTCCGCACCAGTTATGTATAAATGTACAATATGTATACAGTTCTGCCAGAAACCAGCCAATGCTCCAGTTGGGATACTCAGATTTCAACTTCCTGAACTCTCCCATTTTTATCTTTCAGTCTGTTATCATTCCCACATATAACGCTGAGGCCTGGCTGGACGAATGCTTGAAATCTGTTTACCTGCAAGACTTTCCAGGGACTCTGGAGGTTTCCATCTACAATGATGGCAGCACGGTAAAATGACAGTTATACATTTTTATTGAAGTGGCTTGCAAATGTCCAATTTACTGGGTTTTTTTTCTGATTTGGCTTTCCGTTTTGTATGGAGAGTATGCAGTCATATCACTGTCCCATGTGATTCTTATCATGTTTTTGATCGGATCCACATGAGGCAAAAGAAAATATAATCTTGTGTTGATGCATTTGGTAAACTAATCGGCTTGTCACTCCTTCATATGAAGCATCTTGGTGATGTTACTGGTCTCTAGTAAATGGATAGGCTGCGTTCTCATGAATATGAAGGGTATCGGTGATGTCAGTGATCTCTAGTGATGGGATAGGCTGCGTTCTCATAAACATGAAGGGTCTCGGTGATGTTAATGGTCTCTAGTGATCGGATAAGTTTGTGTTCTCTTAAATATGAAGGGTCTCGGTGATGTCTCTGGTCTCTAGTGATTGTTTAGACTGCGTTCTTATGAACATAAAGAGTCTCGGTGATGTCACTGGTCTCTATTGATTGGATAGGCTGCGTTCTCATGAATATGAAGGGTCTTGGTGATGTCACTAGTCTCTAATGATTGGATAGGCTGCGTTCTCATGATTATTAAGTCTCTCAGGGAGGTCACTGGTCTCTTGGTGATGTTACTGCTCTCTAGTTAAACAGATAAGCTGCTCTCTAAACTAAGATAATCTCTGCACCATTGTACTGTAAATGGGCACCAAAATGATGGAAGACTGAGCACACCTTGATTCAAAAAGAAAGTACGGTGGGGGATAGATCTGGATTAAATTTAAGAATTGCAACCTGAGCTGCTTCTTCCTCTTTTTTTTTTACACCTGCTTGGAGTCTATTTTTATTTTTAAAACTTTTGTCCAGTGTTGGGCTTTATATTTGTTTTTTTAACCTACAGGATGGCACTGACAACCTCATACAGCTATGGAAATCAAAACTTGAAGATCGAGGATTTTACATTATTGTGGGAGGTCACAATTCCCCCCGACCCCATGGAGGTAGGAGACCAATTTTATATTTTGGTGTATTAGTAGATGGGGACAGAATAAATAACTTTATAATTTAGGAGTCCATGAGAGGGATCTGCAAGCCAGCGGGCAACTGTAATGAGCCGAGGAGCATGTGAACCTCTGGCAACAATAAAGGACGCATAAAGAATTTATACAATAGTTGAAAATCTTTTAGGCATTTGAACTACGTGGATCTCAGGGTTTGTGTAGCACATGAAGACCATTTTTTATAGACTTGTTTTCATTAATGGAACTAATCATACTGTCCTAAAGTCTACAAGATGTGTCTAAAGTCCCTAACGTACCTGCACATATGCAAAAAGCTCAAGAATAAAACCAGAAGTTTACAATTTTTTCAGGTTTTGATTTCTAAGAACACAGTTCAGGGTTTGTAGACATTATAGCTGTATAGACGAAAAGGCAGGACAAACTGCAGCTGTGTGCATAAGGTGCCAAATGAAACCGAATATGGCTGAACATTCTGAGAACAGGGCCTAGTGAGCATCGCCGAGGCCCGCAGGGGTTTCGCGGGTTGTACATAAAGCAATCGGGCTAAGTCTCGCTGTATTTGGAGCACTGGCTTGGCAAGGAGGATTTTCTTTTGGGCCGTCTATTTGGAAACTGATCCATTGTCTTTCTGCAAATCCCTTCCTTTTTAGCCCTGCAATTATGTAACTGAAATGACTGAATTCCCAGCTCTGGGACATGTGGTTTACTCATAACACCAACTTATGGCAATGTCTGAATATTAGCGACCAAGTCAGTATTTGTTGACCCTGTTACCCATGGATCTGTAGGATACCCATAAACTGCGGACAGTGATTGGAAACTATAAGACTTTAGCAGGCTGCAAAACCAGCTACCAGAGCACATTTGTGCTATAATATAACATAGGGAAAACAGGTTTTATTTTTCAACATTTTTAGAATTTTGTTATTATATAGTAAAAAATAGAAAACCCCCAGTGGTGATTAAATACCACCAAAAGAAAGCTCTATGTGTCCCCAAAAAATGGTATAAAATTAATTTCAGTATAGAGCGGAATACATGGCCTGGACAGGAAGGGGGGGTGTAACACACCGGTCAGCAAGTGGTTAAGGTTGGGATGCTGGTGTGTTTGCATATCATTTCCATCCCGTATGCTGTTCGGTATGTGCCTGGTGTGTTTTCACATCTTAATTTGCACGCATACATTTTCAGAAACTACTAAGCGGGATCCTTGTGTTTATTTAAAATCAAAATATGTGTAAGGAAGGCGTTTGCTCTGCAAAAATATGGGGTCACTCCCTCATTCCAGCGGTGTGGAATGTTTAATATCAGATGGAACTCGCATTTGGAGGCCCGTTACCATGACGACCCATTACTCTGATCTAAGAGCTCTGCACCCAATGCAAATCCTTTGGCACAAATCATAAGAACCGTTTCTTTTTTTTCTTTTCCTTCCGCAAACTTATAATAAACCATCATTTTTCCTCTGCCAGTCTGTAGCTGGAGACCCGGGGAAGGGGAATGTTATTTAAAGTGACAGAATTGATGCATTTGCTAGGTTTTTTTGGAAGGTTGTGTTAAGGCGCAGCTGTTGTATTCCACCCCAGCCAGAAGCTGCCAGATGTGGTTGGGGTTTAATTAGTTTGTTTTGTTGATGAAAATATTATTGCAGTGATGGTATCTTAGGAGCCAAAATATTTCTCTCCTTTTGGAAACTATTTAGAGTTTGCAGAATGTTTGTTTTGATTCGCACTTTTGCTGTGGCGTTGATGGATACGTTTTAAAGGCACAGTCCCATCTTTTGCAAAAAACAAAACATAAATGCACACACGTTAATAAAAAAGTGGATTTTAAAATATTTTGTGCTAGAGCCTGCAGAGCATTGCGACCACAATCAGTGGATCTCTAGTACAATGCCAAGCTCCTGCAGACTATTCCCTCAGGCCTTGTCCTCAGTGGCGTAACCAGAGTTATTGGCGCCCAGGGCAGAACATTTTTTTCGCCCCCCCCATATTATATAAACATCCACTAGAACTGTACCCCCCACCCCCACACATATTTATCAGCTAAGGAACTACAAGTCCAAGCATGCCATCATTGTCCCTGTACACCC